TTTCTGATTGTTAGTCAGAAAAGCTAAGCCTTGGTAAGGACAATTTTTCATGTCTGACCTTTGAACTTTTCTTTCTCAGCTGTCTCTTGAATAGTAAGTTGACATAGTGACTTATTATTCATTAGCAAGTATGATTGTACATAAGCATCACTATTGGTTTGCATGTTTGTAAAGCAAACTCTCAATTACTGAGGCAGTAGTTCACTAGTCTGGAGGTTATGGGCCTCCTGTAGCCTGCCTTTTGGCCACTTCATTCGCTGTAGAGCATCACTCAGAGTGTGGAAAAATCAAGTAAAAACTGAAACAAAGATATTTCCTAGGGTTGGTAAAGTCAGATAGAAATGAAAATTTTTCATCATTTGTGCTTTTGAATTTTCTAAGGCTAGAAATTAACCTGATGATGGTAAAAGGGGCTGGCTTCCTTTTATACTTCATAAATGCTTCCAAATGAACAATAAAAAGAAAGCATTATGAGTGCTCGTAAAATTTAGGAGTGCTATGTTCCTGGTATTAAAATTGAGTTGGTAAATTGTTACCAAATGTTTACCTTAGCATGAAAAAATATGTTCAGCTGTACACTTCTGGACAGGAATTTAGAAGCAAGACAGTTGTACTTTGGACTTCAGACCAGATTGTCATTTAAGTGATGTAACATATTTAGTATTCATCCATCGATAATTGTAACTGATCTTGAATTTTACTGAGGTAGCTGCAAATAGAGCTACTCTGCTGGCAAAGCATCATGATTTATTTACCATAATAGTGAAGTTTCATTTCATTGTACTAGATTGTTCAACAACCTGTTTTTAATAAAAAATTAGCATCCCTAAAATGTGTGTAGATATTTATGTGAGGCAGTTTTCCTTCTTGTCTTTTTCATTTTTAATTTTTTTGTTTATGGGCTACAGCACTATATATATATATAGTGCTGTTCACACTACCCAAGATACTAAGCCAGTCAAGGTGTCCATCAACAGATGAATGGATATAGAGGCAATGAGTTTTTTGAGTTGCTTTATTATTCAAAGGTGCTCCAGGATTCTTTCAGACCAATATATGTTTTGCTCCTAAGTGTTTACTTTTATATAGGATTGCAGGTACTATAGCCCTACTGTTAATCATAGCACAGTGATGTATAAGTAATTAAGACTCCTAAAAGAATATTTTAGTGAATAGTTTAGTATCAATGTATAAAGCCAAGCTTCTTTTAATTACGGAATCTTACCACAAATATTAACTTCACATCAGCAGATTTGTGTCTAACTAGTGCTTTCCTATAGAAATTGGAATGTTTTGAGTTTTGGACTCCTCTAATACAGTGAACTTTTCTGTAAATGGCTAAATAGTAAATATTTTAGCATGTGTAGAACAAGGGGCATAGTTAAAGATGTTGTATAAGTCCTATGTAGCAAGAAAGAAAACAAATAACAACGCTATTTTGTGCTAGAGGTCTACTTAATTAGGAACACCATGTAATCTGTGAACAAACATTAAAAAAAATTTCATATGTGCTCACTTCAACAGCACATATATTCAAAAAAGAATTTCACATAATTTACATGTGTTACCAAGTATTTTTGTCCATAAAGTGGTTTTCAGCCATTTAAAACTGTAAAACCAAGGTCGTGTGCCCAGTGTATAGTCCATAACCTCGACACACAGTCAAGGTGTCAAGGGCCCTTAGTCTTGAGGTCAGCACAAAACATTTTGTGTATACACAAGTTCTTCTGTAGATAAATACTACAAGCTCTCATCTGACTCTCAAGAGAAGTCTTAGACTCAAAATTGGGAGCTACAGTAGGGGAGGATTTCATTAATTTTCAGGAGGCCTTTCCTGAGTGTCCGATAGTTCCTACATACTGTCTGGTCACTGGGAACACATGGGAATTCCTATCACAGGAAGTAACACAGCAGATACACTGAGGGAAAAAAATTGTCAGGTAAGTATCTTAATCATAAAAATCTCTTGTCTCCGCCATTCTTATTGTGTTACCTCTGGTCCTGGGACAAAAACACTTCTCATAGCTTCAAGTATTTAGTCAATAATTTAGGCTCAGTTTTAAATATTTGAAACATATTTAAGTGTCCAAATTATATGAGGCTATAAAGAGAAATCAGATTCAATGTATTAAGAACTGTCTTTTCTTAGGGCTACGGGTGTACCTCAGTGGTAGGCCTTTTGATTAGCATACACAGGCCCTACATTCACTCTCAGTCTCTTATAGATAGGTCCATGTTAGCGCAACTAATGTCAAGGCCTGTGATATATGGGTAGAAGCAGGATTAACTTGCTTATTAAAGTGTGATCTTGCAAACTGCTTGACTTAACCCGCAGCTGTTAGTCAGAAGCTAAGCCTTTCAGCACTTGTATTCATGAAATGGAGCAGCTACCCTAGGGCAGAGGTGGTGGTGAGAAAACAGAAATGGTGATTTGAAAATAAATGAGCAGTTCAGGAGGTCCTGCCTCCGGCCCAGAGCTATGAATAGAAGAATTTGTTACTTCTCAATAAATGTTTATAAAATGAAAATTAGACTCATGGATGAAATAGTCACAAAAGTTATGATACTAATTTTAAAATGTAGAGATAGCACAGTAGAGTTTATCATGAAATCTTCAAAAGATCTAAACATTTTCCTCAAGCTCCTTATATTTTGTATGGAGACTTCTTATTTAAAACTTCCTTGTGTATATGCATAGAGCTTATAACAAACCTAAATAGGTTGAAATACATTTCAAACAGAGCAGAAATTCACCAGGAGAATTTTCCTGCTGAGTTGCCCCCCCCCAAAAAGGGAAAAAAATACAAAATGAATTCAGAATGCCATAAAAACATTGCTTATGTCTACTTTAGGTCTAAATCTTCATTGCTCATTACTTAAATGAATTAATATTAATGTGTTGGCATTTAATAACTTATAATCTAGAAAATTCACTTCCTAGTCTTTGTTACAGTTCAGTAGTTAGTAGATATAATAATGGTTCTTTATCGGTGTTGTAAAGGCAAAAGCAAAAGTCTCCAGCAGAATGGGCTAGCAGCTACAGTGAGAAAGTTACCACAAAAGCCCAAGAGAAGACAAAGGGGAGACCATTGTGCAGTTCAAATAAGGAGTATTTGCCTTCAGAGGTTCTTGCTGATGTAGACATGATTGTGAATCACTGAATTAGTACTGTCTGCATCGTTGCCGAAGCATGCCTGGGTGGTGGTTTCCAAGAATTTTTTTTTCTTATTAAATAAAATAATGTCACATCAGCTAATTCCTGGGACTTTGCGTCTCATTTAATAAGTTTAACAGGTCCCTGTAGCCTTTTCATAGCACAAGATGGGGTTGGACAGAATCAGCCTTAGGCTATTTGTTCTGGAACCTTAAGTGCCCCTCCCCCAACCTCCATCTTTCCTGGCACCTGGAGTTGCCCTTTCCTTCTAAGGTCTTGACCACTGTGGCTTCTTATGTCACCCTGGACCTGTTCTTTGGAGACAGATTTTTTTTCAGTGCTTAATATGCCAATCAGCTGATTTGATAAATTCACCTAAGACATCATGCTAATGGGAGAGGACTGCCACCCAAACCAAGTGGAGCTTCTAACAGGAGCTTCCTGAGAAAGGCTGTGCATGTGAAATTTTAAGTAAGTGTAGACCATGATGTGGCAGGGAGACTGTGTCGCCCCTTTCAGACTCTGCAGTTCCCTGTTCTATGTGTTCAGAACTGTTCTATTAATGTGATTTACAACGTGTGGGCACAGCTTGGCAATGCAACAGATTCATGATTACTTTTTAGCTGAAGAAATAGAAAGCAAGCAAGCAAGAACACATGTGATTAGTAATACACAGTGAGACACCGCCAGTTACATAATAGCTACTGTATTCAGCCACTACTGGAAACATACAACAATTTATCAGATGGATTCATTCACTAAACTGTTAACATTCATTTTAAAAACATACTGACTATATCTGACAGCAATCATTCACTGGGTATTGGCTACTATGGGCAGATAAGGGACTTATCAAACAAATTATAATGACATTGAGAAAAGAAGATATAGGAGAAACTGGCAAGTAATACAATAAGAAGGTCAGTTATGCAGTTACAGTAATAAAGGCACTGTACATACCCAACTCTGAATCCCTGACTTTTGAAGCTATGAAAGCCACTAAGCACTCTGTCTGCATTTCTAAGGCTTTTCCTTGCAAGTTATGTTCCAATTTATATACCACATAATCCTGTAATCTTATCTCTTCTTGCCTAACAGGGGTTCTTGTAGCATTTCATGAGCCTCTTTTTGAACTGCATCATCTGACCCACTAGATAAACACAAGGCTAGGCAAGTGACATTCATTTGTGAAACAGGGCCTCTCCTTTAACAAGTAGCAAAATACAACAGCCATTCCAGTCTCATTTTAGGTAGATGGCAAGAAGTTGTTAAAGCGTATATTTTTTCTAAGGTATGCTTTTATTGTTCAGCTCCTGGCTGTCTTTCATAAATGTTGGTAAGCTAGGAAGAGGAGCAAGTACAGTGTTTGGTAGTTGGACAGGTATGACCTGCCGTAGAATAGGTGGTCTTAGAACCAAGCACTACTGATGGGGAAAGGTGGATGAAGGAGGTCCTCAGCAGTATCCGCAGTCCACCTGCATTGGCCTTGCCTGTATGACATGGGAGATCACATACGTGCTGTCACTGGTGATGCAGTTTTTAGATTTTTAAAAAGGGAAGAAAGAGAAAATACATTAGGAACAGTGAGCTTTAATTTGACAGCTTTATGATTGTTAAAATCATGTCACTTCCTCTATCAGCGTACCAATAAATATTTCTTAAAGGGATTTGTTAGTTTACGAACAACTTCTATATGGGAATAAATAAGAAAATAAAAATGTCAGTCCAAAGAAACAATTTTGGTATAACTCAGGAAATTCTGATTTTTCTGAAAGAATGCCATCTTGCATGATAAGAATCTGTTCACCTCTAACATTTTTTCTTCCCTCCTCTTTTAAACATACAGACGATTCCTGTGACTCCGTCACTCGCGGCTAGTCCTACTGTGGCTTTCAGCCCATATGTATCTCATACTGGCATGAGTCTGGTTCCAGCTGAACTTTTACCAAATACACCGGTTCTGATTTCTGGAAATCCACCTATCGCATTACAAGGAGTTCCTGGTCCAAAGCTGATGCGTTCAGATAAACTGGAGGTATTTGTGAGAAAATAGATAACTAATTCTAAAATGGATATTCCCCTTATGCATGAAGTAATATTTCTGGAATGCAATGTGTTGAGTGTTTTAAATAAGTATGCTCAAGATTTTAGCTTATGGAGTATATATAACCTGCAGTTATATCTTGTTATGAAGCATCAGTTCAGTCATGCAGTAAGCCAAATGATGTTTCTTGTTACCCAGCCACAGAACAGGCTATGCCCCAATAAATCTGGAAGGGATGGTCCATGTCCACTGATCCCAGCTCTGGGGATTACTTTGTTAGTGTGTCTCTATTCACTAGAGTTTTCAGTAAACTGAAAAACAATCAAATCAAATTCTGTACAATTACAGAACGTAAAGCTATAGGAATGCAGAATGTTAATCTCATAGTGTGTAAGCCTTTTTCTCTATTTTAAGAATGATGTACTTCATAATATCCCATAATCCCTAAAGAATCTAAAGGAAATTTCTAAAAGCTTTGTGATTTTTTGGAATTCTTCAGTTTTCCTTTAATTGTCATTCTTTGTATATTGAAATAAACAACTAATCGATTTCTTAAAAAGTCAGCTTCATTGGCAGCCTCTTAAATGCCTGGTAATGTATTGTAATGAAATCTGATTGTACATGTAATTCAAGCATGGCTCACAGTCTGGCTATGGAAAACCCCAGTGCATTACAATTTGGCCCTTAAAAAACTAATTACACTTGAGGCTTGTTTTGACTGGAGAATTAAAATTGGTTTTTAGTAACACTCCAAAGTACTTAGGAGAATAGAAAATCTTTTTCTAGAAATACTTGATTACATGTCATAGTGAATATGGCTTTGCATTATCTTTCATCTTTTTAGATTTTTCTGAAATAAGTGGCGAATATATGATTACTCTAATAACCACTGGAATAGTACATAAAATCCAGGTACCTTTTGATACATGTGTATGTGTGTGTGCTTTCCTCTTGAAGGTGTGCCGTGAATTTCAGCGTGGAAACTGTACCCGTGGGGAGAATGATTGCCGCTATGCTCACCCCACCGATGTCTCCATGATCGAAGCAAGTGATAACACTGTGACCATCTGCATGGATTACATCAAAGGTCGCTGCTCCAGGGAGAAGTGCAAGTACTTTCACCCTCCTGCACACTTGCAAGCCAAACTCAAGGCTGCTCATCACCAGGTGAACCATTCAGGTGCCACTGCCATGGTAAGAGTCGCCCGCTTGGGCGCTCTGTGTTCAGGGAAATGATTAGTGTGGCCTCCAATTTGTCTGATATTCTGTAACTGAGTTGCCGGATAGTCACAAGTGGACCTTAGGATGAAGAATCAAGGTTAAAAGCTGGGAAAAGATAGAACCTATTTACTTTATTTACTAAGATTTTCTAAAGATAATTATTTAAAAGCTTTACTAACGATCTTAGCTTACTGTGCTCGTATTTTCGAGGAGAGGGTAAATTGTATGATTTAAGCAGCAAATTATTTTTGAGTAGTTGTTATAGTCTAACTATGGTTAATATCTGAGAAAAGCGGAAAGGTGCCTCTCTACTCTATGAGTAATTTCCACGGGTACACTTTGCTGCTGACATCCTTAATGCCTTTTGAAAATAGAGCACTTGAAAGATGGTATATTAAGTGGGGCCTAATTGCCCAAAGGTTAAGGGTACCTTTCCTATTTGGAGACATTATGGCAGCAAAGGGGAAGACAAAGGGCCAGAGCCTGCTGAGGCTGCAACATGGGTAGATTTCTACTGGACAAGCACAGGAAGTCTAGGTTTGAGTTTCCCTGGCTAGTCAGCTTTGGGTAAAAGTTAATTGTGCTTAATAGAATTAAAAGGCAGATAGTAGAAAAAAATATTTTAGTAACGCTTCATTGTGAAAGGTTGAGACATGGGAAGTAGGATTACTCAAGTGTGTCCCAGCTGATGTTCTTTGTGCTGTTGATTTCTTTTGCTACCTGGAACATAGCTCATGTAATGGGGTATAACAATTCAATAAGGGACAAAGCCTTAAGAAAACCTTATGTTTTAAAAAAAAAAAACCTTATGTTTCCTGGCTGTAGGTAAAGTACACACACTGCTCTGAAGCCAAGAAAATGCAGTGTGAAGCTGGGGGTGGTGACACATCTATAATCCCAGAGTATCTGCAAGTTTGAGGCCAACCTAGGCTACATAGTGAGTTCAATCACACACAGAACTGCGTAGTGAGACCTTGTCTCAAAATAAAGATGCAATATGAGCACAAACCCCTCATTTGCATGTATCGGTCGGACTCCTATGCCAGACATCCAACCTTTTACAAAAGAATTGTACCTCTTGTACCTCTTTTTCTCATGTCCCTTTTGGGAAGATTTGTCTCATACTGAGTTGAAAGTTACATTGCGACTGGAACTTCACAGAGCATGTCAGTCCCTGTCCCATACCTTGTGTGATAAATTCAGTAAGTGTCTAAATTAAGAAGAATCTATGTTACAGAAGAAGACATATTGCCACTAACACCTTTCCTAGTATTTCCCCTTGTTTTAAATACATTTACATCCTTGCCACTTTGTACAACAGTTCCAAAAGTCCTCTTTTGTATCTTTTCATGGGGCTGCCTTGAAGTCCTGAATCAATTCAAAATGTTTATGGTAATTTCTGTTCCATAAAACCATTAGGGTCTGTTCTCATCTACCTTTTTCACCAGATCTGGCTCCTCCTGAAAGTCAAAATGACCATAGAAGGTACATGTTTTGAGTTGATTCAGTGTTTTGAGGCAGCCATGATAGTCACAAGAGACGACTTGCAGAACTGCTTCAGAAAATGGCAAGAACTGTGGGGTAAATGTATTCGGAGTGAGGAAGAACATTTTGAGGGGGGATAATGGCAGTAATCTTTTAAAGTAATAAGCTTTAACATTTTAAAAATATTCATAGTTCTTCCTCACTCCACATATGAGTGACTGCTCATGTCTCCTCTCTGAGGCAGGTACCCCAAATTTCTCCACCTGTTCCTTGCAGACTACAGTTTCAAGGACCCAGCACCTTTTTGGACTGGCTCCACTTTCTAAATACCCTTCTTCTTTCAGAACCGAATTCATTACTTTATGAAGGATCTTAGGGTCAAAGTAAAAGAAACTACTTTCTTCTCCAGGTAGAAAACATAATCTGTTCATGAATATTTTAAAAAGACTTCACGAAATATTTTTTGTCTTAAATTCTTCAGAATGGAGGACTTGCAAGCTATTAAAATTGCAGGTTATCGGGGCTGGTGAGATGGCTCAGTGGTCTAAAGCACCTACTTAGAACAAGCTTAGCAAAGCACAGGGACCACGGTTCAATCCCCCAGCACCACATGCCAGCCAGCCCTGCCCCCTGGTGGGCTGAGCTGGACACACACACACACACACACACACACACACACACATAAATAAAATTAAAAAAAAAATTGCAGGTTATCTAGGATGCTCAATGCAGAGTTTAAGTCTTTGATTTTTTAAGAGACAAGATTTCACTATTTTGATCAGGCTCACCCCTAATTCCTGGGCTCAAGTGCCTCAGTCTGTCAAGCAGCTGAAACTGCAGACGTGTCACAATGTCCAGCTAAGTGTTCAATTTTTTGATTACTTATCTTGATTTTAGAAAGCATATGGACCTATTAAAGGGGAAGAATGCAGTTTCCTCCTTAAAAATGAGCAAACATATACGAGAATATATAAAGAATGGTGTGCTTATGCCTTTATGCACATGTAGCCACATGCAGGCAAGGGATCCTCATGTATATCTGATAGTTTGAGTGTGTTTGGTAGAAAACCAAAATTATATATCTCAAATTTTCATTTGGAGAGCTAAGGATTGTATGTCTTCCGACATTATTTATGAATGTCTTTCTGAGTGAGTGATCACAGTGAGGTCTTAGTGGTAAGGTCAAGTTGCCCCATAGGAATTTTAAGTAAGACTAAACAAAGGCCTTCATGAAGAAGTTTAAACATTTTTATATTTTCAAGAACTCAGAATAGAAATGACTTGGAAAGGGGGTACTTTCACCTTGTGCCTGGGTATAGTTTAGCTGACTTTGCAGAGAGCAGCTTATATGCATTAACATGTTCCCACCTGCTTGACTTCCGGGTGGTCCAGGCCACCTGGTGGTGAGACGCATGAATTTTGTTAAGATTTGGAAGATTGTTATTTATTTCATCTAGTCTTTAACAAGTTAGAGAGTTGGTGATGAGGCTGTTGAGGCCCTTTTGAATGTTATTTAGAGAAATACTTAATAATAGTATCCACTAGGCTATTAGAACCAGGCATTGACATCTCAAGATAGACCCCAGCAGCAAATAAGCAGTACTGCTTTACTCAGACCTACAAGGTGAACATCCATCTGGGCCTTGCCCAAGTGTCGTTTACCAGTCAACACAGATTTGCTTCTGGCTTTCTACTACTATCTTGGCTTTGTGGAGAAACAGGCACCTCCCACTTATGCCACAGGGAAATCTCTTCTTCTTGCTATACTAGGAATTGAACTTGGGCCCTTCACACCGAGCTGCATCCCCAAGTTTTTTAACTTTTGTTGTGAGATGGTCCTGCTAAATCAGTAAATTCCTTAGGCTGGGCTCAAACTTTTGATCCTCCTGCTTCAGCCTTTTAGAATGCTGGGATTACAGACATGTGCCACCCACATCTGGCTCCAAAGGGAAATCTTTTAAATATCCAGACAAATAGTTTCCTATTCTACACTGTTAAAATCTTGGGCAAGTCCACTTCCTCTCATTGGTAATAAAATACATATGCATGATAAATCACATATTACAGTAAGTGATTTTAGTCATGACCTTTATCATCTGGACTTCACAGATATATTGGGAAATTATATATCGGCAAAACTACTGGGTTTATTTTTAAGAGATGAAATTAAACCTCGTATAAAAAGCAGACCTCTCACTCTGTATCCATTCATAGCAGAGACCCCAAAAGAAAACAGGAGATAGTGTTTGGTCTTTCTTGTTCTTGGGACTAAGGAGGTTATGGCACACCCAGCAGAAGTGTTCCAGTCTCCTTAAGAATTTGGAACACACCTTATAGTTGCTGAGAACTGTTTTTAAAGTAGTGTTCAATTTGCTGAGGGGAAAAATGTAAACTAATATTAAAATTCTCCAACGAATATGATCTGGGGGCAAGTTGTAGTATTACAAGCACAGTGGGATTTTAGAAGACCTCTAGGCATGAAAGAAAGGCTTAAAATGCTGATAGGTTTAGAATACAATCTTACAAAGACCTTACAAAATAAATGGTGTGTCTTAAAATACACAGCAAGCCCGTAAAATGAGAAATGCCAGAATTTTGCTCAAGTACATGTGGTACCTGGTGGAGGTAACTGGGAGGAGAAGAAAGATTCATTTGCATTTCCATGTGAGGTAGGAAATATACAGTTGTCGGATTTGAACCTGAGGTCTTTGTACACATTACATTTTGCTTTCTAGGGCTACAGTATCAGGCTGCGGTCTACCAATATCTATTTTATTACCTACATACCATTTGTTTCCTAGATATATATTGGACCTTTAACTGACATATCTTTCCTGTTATTTCTGTTGTGTCTGCTAATCTTATTTCTATAGATTAACTATTAGTTGTATGTTAATTTTAAGTCACTTATTTGCTATAATAGTTTTCTGTCATATCTGGTCTAGTTGAGGTCAAAATTAGTGAATTTGAAAATCTTTTTATCTTAGTATTTTTATTGCCTTGTTTTAACAGACTACACTTAATTCCAGCAGTTGGTAACTTCACCCTGCAGCCATTGTTTGTTGGATGTCCTGCTCGATGAATTCCTTTACAGAAAATACCTAGGCCATATTTTTAAAAATATGGTGCTTGCTTGGTTTAAGTACATTTGTTACTTTTTCTGGTTCTAGCGATTAATCCATCCCCCTCCACAGGCCCTCCAGCCTGGTACACTTCAACTGATACCAAAGAGACCAGGCCTTGAAAAGCCCAATGGTGCCACCCCAGTCTATAGTCCTGCTGTTTTCCACTGCCAGCAGGGTCTGGCTAACATGCAGCTGCCACAGCCGACGTTCATCCCTACAGGTGAGAATATGGCTCTGGGCCCCATGAGTTGAAGGGGCTTGTGAATGGATATAGCACAAGGCAGCTTCCAAGGGGCTTTTATAATGGGGATCCACATGTATTTGATTAGCAATAAAATATGGTAATTATGTTTGAACTGCTAGTAGCTAGAACAACTTATTTGTCTATGAGAAAATTAATGGTGAAGGCATGAACATGTTTTCTATCTAGTTTTCTTATATTTTAGCTTTTTATGATTGATTCACTTCATTCAGTCTCAACTAATTCCTGGACTCTTGGGTATCACTTTCACAGGTGGTGGTCAGCTGTCAGAAAATAAATCTCAGCTTCAGTATTGCAAAACCCAGTACTCTATATACTCCACATAGTTCTAATATGCCAGTGGTAGTTATTATGAAACTACCTTTCAGTGTTCACTAAGTATGGTATGATACAATGTAGTAGATAAAAGAGATCCTTTCTACCTCCCTTTAACCAGTTAAAATAAAAATATAGGGGCTGGAGAGATAGCTCAGTTGAATAAGCACTTCCTTGGCAAGCGCAAGGGCCTGAGTTCAATCTCCAGCTCCTCAAATAAATAAAATAAATAAATAAAATTCATTATAAAAATAAATTAATTTATTATATTTTCTGACACTTTAGCCTATCTAATGTTATTTCCTATATTCAGGTATATTTAATAGCAAAAGTGTTAAATTTTGCAGCAAATTGAGTAGAAAATATTAATCCAGAATTTTGTTCAAATAAATATTAGATATGGGCAGCAGTAATTTTGCTCATTGGTTCAGTCCTTTAAGAATGACCAAAAAACAACAAAAAAGAATGACCATAAAATATCTTAGGGATAAATTGAAAATAGTAACCATTGGGAGTGTAGTAGAGGTTGTTTTGTTTTGTTTGGCTAGAATCCTAAATGTGTCAGTTTGGAAACTGTTATTAAGTGAGGATAACATCTGTTTGAAAATTTAATTTAGAAAGCTTGGTTAATTATATAAACATGTTAAACATGTAGTATTATATACTCAAACCTGGAAGAAAATGGCTAATTAAGAAATCAATCATTTAATTAATTTTGAAAAGGTCTCTACTGACCACAATAATTCTTCATAACAGGATTTAAGTGACATGAATTTAATACACCTATATACTAGTTTCTGAGAAGAAAAAATGGAATTCTGCAGCAAATTTTTATATTACCTATAAAAAAAACCACTGATCTCTGATGATTTAGACTTTTCCCTAAAACTTATTGGGGGAAAATAATGCAATGTCCATAAAGTAAAAGAGAAAAGCAATAAGGGCTGAAATGACTTTGTCTTAGATTTTTTTTTCATTTAAAAATTTATGCTCCTTTACCTGTCCCTTGGCTACTTCTTATTTGTCTCATAGCTATGGAATCAATTGGGTAACCAAGGAAGCTTAGCCAAGGTGGTTGAATATGAAAAAATTTACATTATTCATTATAGGGTTCCTCAGTGGGATAGTTTAGTTTCTTTTTCTTTCTTTTTTTGCCAGATTTGGCGTGTAAAAGCTTTCTGTTTATTTCAGCAAAATAAACCTGTCTGAGAGTCCCCTCTTACTGGAAAGCCTTTTGCCATAGGTTCATTGTCAAATCAATTTATCCAAGGTGAAGGAGGCAGTGGTAATAGATTCATACCCTAAGTAGAAAAACAGGGACCAGATATCAGAGTCTGGCACATATTTTGAAAAGAATATGTTATAAATGTGTAATTTAAGTGAGATAATTCTTTAAAGAAAAATTAAAGTTCATTTTTTAAACTCAAGAATCCAAGAACAACTTTAACTGGGTTTTGTGATCTTAAAGCTAATCTGTAATTATAAGCATGGGAGATTACTGGACTTGCATGTGCTGCTTAATTGGTATTTCAAAGAAAGTATCTTTCTAGTTAAAATTCATTTCTATCTGTAAAGCCTTAATAATGGAATCTCTCTTTTCTTTACTTTCCACGCTTTTTCTGCATGGTGTAAAGGGCCAATACTGTGCATGGCACCCGCTACAAGTTTTGGTAGGTTTCATACAAAAATTCTCATTTTCTTCTAATCTGAAAAATGTGTTTTCCTTCTGTGAAAGAGATGAGTGACTGATGTGACTGGACATTTGCTGATGTAAGGTTTCATGTTGTGTTTTGTGTTCCACATCTTTATGGAATCAAAACCATCCTAATTTCTCCAGTCTTGGCTGGTTGCCTCTGTGGCCAAACACAGTCCCTTGCATTTCTCTATGTCTGCCCCAGACCAGCTACTGAAATGAAAATGCTATTGAAAGCGTGTTTAAGTGCTTTTTTTCCTAGCCAAACTAGAAAATTTACTTTTTAGATTTATATCTATTGTTTTTAGAATTGTGAACTATTTTAGTGCATAACTTATAACTGACAGTAAAACCATACTTTCTCCCAGAAGTTGCCCATGCTACCCACACTATTCAGTATGCAAAGCTGAGAAAGAATGACTTGAGCTACAACATTCTGCAGTGTTCTAGAATGAACGATGTAGTGTTCTGAGATGAAATTCCATCTGCACAGAAAGAGCACAGCAAAATCATTTCCAGAATGGTGAGGTTATGTGATTTATAACACACAGAATCTTTAGGGAGCCACCAACACAAGACAGTAGCCATATCTAGGTGTTTTTATATCATTCATACTGAAGACGAGAGAGCTAGTGGGGAGTTCACTGCTCTTAGGGTTCTTCTAGGGACCATAGGAGACAATAGGTTCCTTCAACACAGGGAGGAATGATCCCACCCTAGCCCACCCCAGCATCGCATCAATCCAGTTTTTCCCATCCTTCTCTGGAGTTTACAATAGCTTGACCCCCACCCAATTCATAACATACCAACAGGCCTACTGAGTTAAAACAAAAGGTCAAAATGATGACCACCTAAAAGCAACACTTACTAACCTAATAAGGTATAAACCCTGGCAGTGGAAGGGTGAGGCCTCTGTTATCCAGAGATGAGCTGTTCCCTATAGGAATACATAACACTCCTATTGATACAAATAGGAACATTCTTAAAAGAATAGACTGCTGCAAGTCTGTGAACGTGTCTCTGTGTTCACATTTTGTGACCTATTTCTTGGGGATGCTGCCCTGTCCTTTCACTTTCAGAGCTCTGCTTAGGAATGCAAATTGCATGCCTGCATGGTGGTGCTACTTCCTGTACAGTTGCTGCACGCCCAGAGGGCGAACAGGAGTACTTACTTTGGTAAATTGGCACATCAAACAATAAAAGATAGCTGTAGGTAATATGTAACTTGGGATGCACGGAAGGGATAATGATGAAGTTCTGTTAATTACCATTTGGGGTGCATTTTTTTGTTCCCATAGTAGTGTGTATATTGATTTTCCTCCTCCTGATCATTACTTCCTCAGTAAACTTTCAGAAAATCTGAATGCAATTGATGTACACATGATAAACTATTACATATGTATGCTTGCCATTCACACATTGCCATTCACACATTAATTCCCTGGTTGGCTTTCTGAAATGAGCTGGAAATTAGAAAAGCATCCAAATGCTTTGAAAATAAAATAGAGACTAGAAAAGGCAAAGCGAAAAACATCCTAAAAGAGGTTTTGCAGCTGCTAGCCAATATAGCTCTTATATTTGTTGTCAAGACAAGATCTACTATGAACTACTCCATGTATGTGATGTAGAGCCAATGATTCCAAGAAAGTTGCTAAAGGTATACATAAAAATTTGCATATATACTTCACTGTGTTCTTTATAGCTGCTCTCCTACCACATACCAGTAGAGCTAACATTTTAATTTTGCCTGCAGATCTGGTAAGTATATATAAAACTATCCTTTTGCACCAGCAAAGCTAGTGAGGGCGCTTACGTGCATAAGTCAATGAGACCTAAACCCTAGTTTACAATTCCCTAATCCTCTGTCCAATGTGCAGCTCAGTTACTTGTCTGTTTAAAAGGCTTCAGACAGCCCTGATAATGTCAGATTTTTTTTTCATGTGCATTTATTGTAACTGCTTCAGAAAATGTGGCCTTTTGAGTCAACTAGGATGTGATTCTGCTCAAAAACTTACTAAATGTTGAGAATGGTTCCGTTTTCTCTAAATGGTAACTATAATTGGCTTTCCCGTTTTCTCTTTTTAAATTCCCCCCCCCTTCCATGCTGTGTTGCTTTGCACTGATTGTGATTGCATGTTGCATCCTGGTATATCCATCGTGATGATGTCACATGGCTTGTTTCTGTGATACATACCACGCCCCATCCCATCGCATATGTCCTGGTTGCATAAATGCTCCACCTTCCTGTGATTTGCTTCTGTGGTTTCCTACTGAAAGTGCCCGTGATGCACGGTGCTACACCTACCACTGTGTCTGCAGCAACAACACCTGCCACCAACGTTCCCTTCGCTGCACCAACTACAGGCAATCAGGTTTGGCCATTTATTTCACCTGTTGAGACCTTGATTATGACATGTTGGAAAGGCACAGTATATGTTTTTTGGATTGGTGAAGACATCAGTCTGTATACTTATGTGTTTTCTTCAGCAGTTGTCGCATTTATTCTTTTTATTTACACTATGCGCTTTCTATTTATCCTAAAGTTAATCAATGGAAGTTTACTCTTTTTTTTTTTTTTTTGGCGGAACCGGGGATTGAACTCAGGCCCTTGCACTTGCCAGGGAAGCGCTTATTCCACTGAGCCATCTCCCCGGCCCCTACTCATTTTTAATCAATGATCATATGTTGTTCTTGATAGCCTATATTGGTTATTAGTGCCACACCAATCCTCAAATGCATATACTGTACTACTATGTTCTCCCTCTTTGGTCAAGAGGAAAATTTATTTTACTTTACTGCCAGTTTTTGTTGTTGTGTTTGAACTTTGACTTAGTACAATCATCACCTTTATTTTCAGATCCACTGGAAAGAAAACAAGACACCACATTTCTTTCCAAGGCACAGATATCTTTATCATTACCAGTGATTGCATCAGAAATTCCCTTTCATATAGACATTAGATATGCTTGCATTGCTTTTTCATTTGCTGTAGGAATTTCAGGCAAAGTCAAGGGGCAAATAAAAGTTTTGAGGGTGTCTTGAGATGGTAAGGCAATACATACAATAGGTACTGGGTCATGTGGTGACCATCCTACCTCATTAAAGTTCTAACCACGCCCACAGACTGCAAGTTCCACTGTTGTGGTAAAGTATGAGCAAAGTAGCAGCGAAGCACACACAGCCTTAATTCGCTGGGGGAATAAGTCACTCTAATCTGTGCTTTGCAAAACTAAGTGAAATGGTTAGTATTTCTAGAATTTCCTGTGAAATTTATTATGATTATTGATTACCATGTCAAAGCAGCAAACAAATTAAACAGAATCTCAAGAAATATTTAATCTAAAATCTTTCTTACTGCTGTACAAGTCCCAGTTAAAAATAGATCAACTGAATGGCATAATGTTTGTTGCCCAGATGAAGACTATGCCAGTGGGTTAGTTTAAGTATTAATGTGAGTAATACAGGTTATGTCTTTTATGTAGACAATTGTGTTTTATGAAGGCTTTTATATTGTAATTAATAGGCATTGCCTATAATTTAGAGATTAAGTTACACATCCTGAAATTTTTAAATTAAAATGTGACAGTGAATATATATATTAACCTGTGGAACTGACAGCAGTGCTATATTTTCCCAGTGAGCTTACATATTTTGAAATATTTTTCTATTGTTAAGAGTATAAGATTTATTAGCCAAGTGCACAGATCACTTTGAATTTTAAGTCTAACTTTTTTTTAGTGAAGTAAAACACTTTTGTCAGGATTTGACTGAGATTATGTTAGACAGTAAGCATTATGCCTTTGCTATGATATTGTACAAAATGCTTTTATTGTCTACAGCATTATGTTGCTTCCTGTGTAAGCCAAACAGAATTGCTGTAGCTGTTTTGAATTTTGATTGATACAATTTACCAGTTTAATCATTCTTTTCATTGGAGTCATGCTTTTAATTTTTTTGTTATTATTGGATATTCTCCCTTCCTCTTTGACCTCTCTTTGCTTGGTCCAGGGCCCATAGTAGCACACACTTAATTTGAACAGACACTCACTTGGAATTGTGTCTTTTGAAGTCACTTAAGACTTCCATGTATCTTAATTCAAGGGTTTTAGTAAGCAAGTGTTCCAACTCTGAATTTCACAATTACTTATTGAAAGCTGCCCAGTTGTTACAACTGTACTGTCTCAGTTACTTGCATGGAGTAAACAGCAGTTGTGTTCTCTGTAGGATTTGTCCCCCAAGATCCCAGCTAATCTTTCTGTTTTGCTGAGGACAAGGCCCAGAACTCTATTTTGGATACAGTGCGTAGCCGACTGATACAAATATGTCCTCTTCATCATAAGGAATATTTTAGAAATGTGTCGTTGTGTATGTGGAATAATGGAAGAAGCCATAAGTTGTAACAGTTTGCAGGAGTGTCATCTGGATGGTGGCAACTTGAGAAAAGCATTAAACATGAGAATGTAGGTTGTACCAACATTTGCTTGACTTTCACAGGCTGCTGCATGCCAAGGTATACAAAAGTCATCAAATGTAATTAACTTTCCACCAAAGGGGAAATGAAATTCTTTTCTGCTGGCCCAATAGGAAATGTAACAGTGTTTGGCAGAAAATAATCACTTCAAATTGTAACAGATGTGGAAAATTTTTAAAGATCAAAAATATAATTTTGGGCCTGGGGAAATAGCTCAGTAGAATAAGTGCTTGCCTCGCAAGTGCAGGGTCCTGAGCTCAATCCCCAGCACCGGGGGGGGGGAGGGGGATATATATGTATATATATAATTTTGTACAATGCTATCTATATACCTCACTTAGACCACTTCTACATGGCTTTAAAACATTCAGCTAAAATGTGTAAATTTTCATAATACTGGCATAGTTCAAAGTGTTTTCTCAATACATGCCTGTTAAAGGAGATAAGACTATGGGTGAATAATCAGCAAAAAGTTTGAGTTGAATTGAGAACAGCTTAAACAATCTGAGAGAATTTCTCCACATTAACTCCTCAATAAAAGCTTCCCATTGAGCAATGGAGGTGAACCTATGGCACTCATGTTATTGTGCTTTTCTTTTAAGAGAAAAGATGGTAGTGTAGAATTGTTTTTTTTTTCAAAACTAATACTCAATATTCCAGTTTACTGGCCGTCTTGGCACTTTGCAATGAGCAAGTAGGCCTTGGGTTGCAGTCTGATACTTAGTCTCTAAAAGCTTCACCATCACTGCATAAATGTATCAAAGTTATATGGCTCTGTAGTGATTATCACCTTCAGTCTCATTTTCCCGGATGTCAAATGTGAAACTTAGAATGGGAAATATTCTGGGATAGTTCATTATCAGAACAGGAACAAGTTCCAGTCCCTTGGCTCCTAGTTTAATAACTCCTCAAAATTTCTCATGCTTTCTCTCTTTTTTTCCATTCCAGTCGAAATTCTGAACAGCAGAGTTACAGAGTACCAGAATCTCTCCATGAGAACCTCCATATGGCCTTTCTATACCTATTCTTATATGTCATCTTCTAGCAACACAACAGTAAACATGGTGCAGTCAATATATTAAGCAAAGTGAACATGCCAGCCAACAAATCAAAATAAAGATAAAGCATTAAAATCAGTGGAGATGTTAAAATCTAATCACAAAAGTACCATCTATCTTTGAATTATTAGGTAGAATATGATCATAAAATTTTGTGATTTTTTTTTCCTGTAACCATTATATTACATGAATTTCAACAGTGTGCTATTGGCTTACTGTACATTTTGGTGGCTAACTATTCCTCTGTTTTTGAAGTGTTACCTTACTATATTGTTTACAGGTCAGGCTATTGAATTGATTTAGAATGTAACAGATATATCCAGTATCATTTTACCCAGGGTTGTATTGTATTGGGTTGGGCTGTGTTTAGTTTTCATGTACTATAGTGTTTTGCTGTGTGGTGTTTGATGCAAATTTAAATGTTATTAGTAGGGAACAGAAATTTATGTGCTTGAAAAACATGGCAGGTTCATGTTAATATGCTCTCTTTAGAATATTTCTGTAGGTTTCTTGGGGCACACACAATGCGTCACTTCTGAGTGTGCACAGAACCTGCTCATAAATATGCATGTATGTAATTTGTTTTTGTGGATCTAACCTTGCATAATTACTAAGTTTTTTGCAAGAGAGAAATAACTAGCCATACAAAGTAGGGAATTTCTTAAAATATTCACTCCTAATACACTCCTCTTAAATAGCTTGTAAAACAATTCATTTTTTAATGATTTTTCAGCATTTCTGCTCAAATTTATGTAAAGTAACCATTACATGTTTTTGATTCTCAAGAATCCTATCTCCTAGGTTGAGTATTTAAAATTGAGCCATTTGTCATCTTCACGTGAGAAAGTGGTACTTGGGGCCTTAAAGGTATGCTAATTGCAAGTTATAAATCAAATAGAGAAACGGAGCATGTAGATACAGTTTTTACATATTGGCAGAAAATGTGTAAAACCATTGCAATGTAATCTTTTACACAAGTGCCATTTTCTAAATGCAAATGGCTTTAGCTCTTAGACTATTCTTTAAATAATAAGATGCAATCTAGCACAAGTCAGTCCGAGCGAAAGAGAATTGGTTCTGAATGAGGCCTTTCCTCCTTAAATGGACAATCTTCTCTATTGATCAGAGGGAGCCTGAGTACAGGTTTGGGAAAATGGCAGAGACGAGGGCAGGGAGACATTGAAAATTACTCTTTGATTTATGCAAAAGAACTTGAAAAGATGTCCGCACTTCTCTTGAGCTTCAGTTTAACTAAATTGCCAATCTCGTTAAACACTTCAGTGAAGGAGCAAGTGCCTGCGATATATGACAAGCATCTCCCTATCCAAACTTTAACATCAAAATCTTTGGCATCAAAACTAGGCCTCTTTTTTCACTTATTTATATTCATGCCTTTGTCTGTTTGTAATGGAGTAGATTTGTACTATTTGCTTAATATCGAGTGACTGTATTACACAGAGATGAGCTGAATTCTCATTAATACTTACAAAATAACTGTACATGAGTAAAATGACAATTTCTGTGCTCTATATTATATCTCTAGTCTATTGAGTTATTGTACAGTGGTATAAATGTAATAGATTCAAATTTAGAGTTAGTATTTTCTATTAAATGTATGTTCTACCACTGGAAAATATAAAGCCATCAAATTTGATATAGAGAAAAGGGGTGTGTTTCTCCTTCATGAAAATGGTCAACAAAGAGAATTTGATTTAGGATACCTTGAGACAGCTGGTAGGTTTGAACTGCAAAACAATGGAATTAGCAAAACCTTTTTGTAGTTGATAAAACTGAAATTCAAGACTATGTGACTTCCCAAAGCTAGGTAACCATTGTGAGAACCAGAAAATGTCCAGACTCCAACTGTAACTCTTTTTCACAGTGTGCTTCAGAGCATTTAAGACTCCATCTCAGAGCAGATCGATCTGGCTCAGAACACAAAGGAGTAAAACTGTGTCCAGTAGTTGGTATCCTATTGGTCTTATGTATCTGAATCCTGCTTCATTGTGATTTCTAAACAGTCTTACTTGTATTAAGCCATTGTCATTGGTTACCAGTGTTGCCTGCAGTTAGAGATTAGAATTTGGTTTTACCTGTAGCTCTTTGAACCACTTGTTTTTCCCTCTCCTGCTGTCTTAACATTGCTAGAGAAGAAACTAAGATATGCCTTTTGGAGATGCCTTGTATTTGGAGTGGAGTTTTGTGTAATCAGTGTCAGTGTCTCTCCAGAAGGGCAGATCTGACCACATGTCTGACCACATGAGCCCAGGAGGGACGCACCTGAGCTAGTCTAGATGTGTTCCTTAATGGAGATGGGGACGTTTTTTGTGCAAAATGAACTTTTGTGTAGTTTGACATTTTGATGCAACATACTATCTCATTTAACTTTTTAAACTTTTGACAAAGATGTACATAGACCTAAAGTACAGCTATTTTCAAGTTGCTGTAAGCACTGGAAGACTAATAATGACTTATTTTTAGTAAAAGATTGAGTAAGGAACATTCAGGGTAGTTGTATTTTGAGTGCCACCATTTTCTACATTGTTGGTATTTTTAAAAGTTGCTATATAAATGAATTTAAGAAAGCAAAGCTCAAAGCCCTAAAGTTTTGGTCAAATTCAACAGTTTTGAGAAAATGAAATTTTAAGATAGCACTCTTTAGTTGTGCAACAACTTATTCCAATTCTCTTTATTCAGAACCCCCCCATTGATAAGTCATTAGACTATAAATTTCCAGTTAAAAATACAAGTCACAAAATAATCAGTGACTCTAAGCAAAAATTTATTGGATGAATTGTATATATAAAATTCTAATCACTTGTAATTCTTAGTTAAAATTTTGTAATCTGTATTTTACAAGGGCCTCTTTTTATTTATCCAAAATTAATTACTTTTTCCATTTTTCTCAGCCTTTTGCAAAAATATGCAAGAGTGCTGAAACTTGAATAAGACGGGTCTTATATACTGAAAAATAATCTAAAAGTTATCTTTTAAGAGGGTTTTAATAGTGTCAATTTTTTACAAAAAGCATTATGTGACCATAATGAAAGTATATTTTAAAAAGGCTTAAGATTAAATTAAGATAAATGGATTCATAAAAATTGCTATTTAAATACAGTATTTACTTTTGCAATTGGAGCATGATTCCACAACCTGCTGTTGCATTTCATTTCACTTTTCTAGATTAGAATTTAATTTGTAGCTAATCATAAAGGTCATCTCCCCCCCCCATTCCATCGAGTCATCTCTGTCAGTTTCTGATCATGCTAAAAGCACTCTGATCTGGCCATGAGTGTTGTCCTCCAGTACAAGGCTCCACTCACTAGTGGGAAGCCTCAGCTCACCTGCTTTCCAGTTTGGGAAGATGCCAGTTCCTTATTCCTGCCTTCAGCAGGTAATAAATGGAATTACACATTGAATCAATCTTTAATGGCCTGAGCAGGAAGCATAGTGATGTCTCATAAGGAACAATACTTATGTTACATTTTTTGCAAGGGAAGAGGGAAGGCTCAGGGCTTCTTTAAAGATTATTTGGTACTTTTTCTCCCCTTTTCATGTCAGTGAGGGTGTGCTTAAGTAAATCCACAAGTTTTCTCAGTTCTTTTAGTCTAAAGAGTGGGAAATCATGCACAGAATAATTCATTCTTATCTCATATACATTTTACATACATTGAGATGGAAATAAAAATTATGGGGGAATCTGATTTTCCAAATTCTGATTAAGAATAGTGATAGTGGCCTAATTTTATCGATGCCTGCCAAGGGCAATAGAATGCATATGAAAGAGCACACCAAATATTTCGCCAATTTAGTTCATAGCCTAATCAACTTGTAAATATAACTACAAATCCAGAGTCTGAGCACTATTGGTGCCATCTTTTCATTTTTCTTATTCTTAGTTTTTAAGGTTATTTTATGACTTTTTATATCTCTAAATAACTAATGATTTTAAGAATTTAATTTTGAAGGAGAGTTAGAGAAAGTTTATAAGTTTTATTTTACTACATGTATTCAGCCTACTTAGATTCTACACTAACACTAAAGCGTGGCAGATATAGATGACAGTCCATCACTACTCTACAGTTCACAGTTTCAGAACAAACGTAACTCTATACAAAAATAATAATTGTTAACTAACTATATTTAGTTGTTGCTTTGGCAACAAAACTACAACATGGCTACCTTTTAGACATTTGTGTGTGTACGTGTGTGGAAATTTTATTTGTAAGCTATCTGTGGTTTGTGACAGTATAAGCATATAGATGATGTAGCTCAAAACTCGAAAAACAGATATGGTTGAATATTTTAATCCCTAAGTCACATGTGAAAGCTGAATTTGTGTCCTGTGACTTTTTGGTCCAGAAGTTTACAACCCATGGATTCTAGAAGCAGACTTTATAGTTTGTGGACTTTGTTGTGTGGATTGGTTTATTCCATAGTATTTTTACTTCAAAACACTATTGTAGTGGCAAAAATTCACTGTTCCTGAAGTTATGTATGCAGATATGCATGAGGGTTGAAATAGGATTAAACATTTTGAAATTAATTCATATTTGTAAAACCATACATAAAGATACTGTGGAATGGCCCCTTAACAGTGTTTAAGACATATGCTGCAGTTACCTGATTGTCAAAGCTAGGGTGCGAATGTGTGAGAGACACCTTTTTTGCACTTGTGTATATAGTCCATGAAAGCAAATCTTGGAGCTTTTTTAAAAAGTATATAAGGAGACTGTGATAGTAGTGGAAAAGTCAATAAGAGAAAGTTATTCCTAAGGCTCTGGAAAGGAGGGATTTTTCCTTTTGCTCTAAGACTTACAGGAATCAGAATGTTGCTTTGCTCTTGCAGAGGCTCCATCTTTCTGGAAGAGAAAATTGGTGACAGGTAACAGGTCAATGTTAGCTAACAACACTGAACAGTAGTAGAATTATTTGCTTAAGTGAGACCACTAGCAAAAATTGTTTGCTTTTTAAGTGAATCCCCACTTTACACACACACACACACACACACACACACACACACACACGCCGCCCCACGTAGGTTGTGGCAGAGGTTTTCTTTTAGGGATTACAAGCAGTGAAATACCATGTAAACTATAAGTTCACTATTTTCATTATGATCAATTCAGGGTTCATCTTTTTACAGAAAATCATTGTTATGTGATATCAGGATATATCTCAATTGATATGTATTCAAGTACATTTAAAATATTAATCTTGACCTCTGTTCTTACTTTAAGATCCACAACTCAAAAAAAAAAAAAATTGGCAACCATTGCATGATTTTATTTCCTTGTTAAGTGTGGCCAGTATAGGGCAATTTGCTCCCTTCAAGGCTGGAAGCATGCCCCTGGCACAAGCTTAGCAACAGCTTTATTTACATTGTACTTGTTCAATGGGAGCTGTTTTCTGACCTCCATTTACCAGATTACAAAGTACTACTTCACTGTCACTTGAGCCTCCCAGTGTTTTGTTTAAATGAAACAGAAGAGAATCAGCCAAAATCTTACATAACATAAAGAGAATGCTTCACTCTGACCACTTCTCCCAGGTTTAGCTCCACACCACCTACAGATAACCATGGGACTTTCTTGTCCTCAAGCGATGTGGCCTAGGAAAAGTTGAGGTTAGAAAGAAGAAGGGATGGACCACCCCAGGTACTTGGAGTCCTTTGCATCTTGAGGCATGTATCTCTCACTCTGGAAAAGGGCAGCATTCTGGTGTTAGAGGAACTGGTATTGCTAGCTATTTTGCCACCTCTGTTAGGAAAAGAATCATAGGGCTGGAGAGTGTAGCTCAGTGATAGTGTGTTTGCTGCATTATGTGTGGCCCTTAGTTACACTCCCAGATAGAGACAGAGAGACAGAGCCAGAAAGCAATCCAAGCCTTATAAGTTGTCCAGTAACTCAGGGCCATTTGGCTAGAAATTTTTTCTCCCATCAGTTCATAATCACTTAGTGTCCATGATACAACAAACAGCTTGACAATCTGACCAGAATTTCCATTGATATAAACTGTAACCATTCTTTCATTCTATAGTTAGGAACACCTAACCTCAATCTTATCGCCAACATAATTTTCCAATTTAACCCCTGTGCTTGTGTTCAGATTCCCTGGTGAATTTATAAGCCAGAAAAAAATATATATTTTCATAAGGTTAGTAGATAGAGAGAGAGAAGATTTGTTTTGTTTTGCAGTGCTAGGAGTTGAACCTAGGACCTCAGGCAAGTACTTTGCTGCTGAGTTACGTTCCCAGCTTGAGGTGGGAGATTCTAAGTCAAGAATCATCTAGGGCTCTCAGTCTTTGGAGCCTAACATGTTCATGATGGAGCCAAAATTAATATGTATGGCTGCTGGGTGGCTCTGAAGCACCAGTGGTACATGCATGACTGTCTCATTGCATGGCCTGGGACAGTCCTGTTGGGCGATACAAGCCAGAGGAAACATGTAAACATACTGACTGTGCTAAAAGAAGTAAAATAAGTCAGGATATACAGTATAACAAAGACATATAATTAAGACCAAAAAATACTAAGATTTAGCTTGACTAATTCATATAGTTTCCAGCTCTTCAATTTGTCCTTGCCTATAGGGAATTTTTCATTGTCTTAAAAGCTGGAGTATTACAAGAAATTTTATCTTTATGTAGAACTCTTTCTCAATTATTGTATTCCTAAAATAAATATATATCACTATGAAACAAGTTACAACTCTTTGTAGAAAATGAAAAAATCTTTACTAGTCATCTACATCATGTTGTTTTTTAAAAAAATACCTTTGTAATGAGACCTAAAGTAAAACAGCTATCTTATATAAGCTTTTCCCTCCCAAACACAATTTAAAGATTTATCTGTCATAAAACTGCTTGGTTTCAAAGCTTTATTTCTATATACAGATGTTATTTGTTAGTGATAGAAGCCGAATTATTTTGTTGCTGTGTCTTTTGTGTCTAGCAGTTTAAGGAATGATATAATCACATCTTTCAATTCTGGAAATACCCTTTTCAAAAATGTTTCCTTTCATTTTTATTGTTGCTGCTTTAATTCATCGAAAATGAGCCATTTATTTCCAAATTCACGGATTTAAATTATATATAAATTGGTTTTGAGGCTAGGTCCCTGTATTGTTCAGGAAGGTCTGAAACTCCTGGGTTCAAACAATCCTCCCTCTGGATTAGTTGGATCTACAGGTGTGTGCTGCTATGCCTAGCTATTAAGATTTTTTAAATAAAGGGTAACTCCTAAATGTACTCTTCAAGGGTTATCTGTATGCATTCATATAATAACAATTTGGAATGTAAAAAAGTGACAGACTATGTTGAGAAGAAAAGTAGTTTATACCTGTAATAAAACTTTTAATGCCATACAAAACTTATGGATTTAAATAATCAGAATATTTTACCAAAAAAACCTTCCCATTTTATCGTATTTTGCCTGCAAAATTCAGTATCTCATTCCCTTAACTGCATATATGTTGACTTTTTTTCCAAGTTCTAGTGGTGTAGTGCCTTTCTGTGTTTAGACGTGTGCATTTTGTAACTCATTTTAGTATGCTTTTATGTTTAATTTTGTTCCTTTAATAAAGTATATAAATTTCATGATTCTGTCTTTTTTATGAATCCATATTCATACATTAGGAGCTCACTTAAAGGTTATTCATCTCCTAGCACATCAATCCTAATACTTTGCAATTCAAATAAAAAATTTAAATTCCTAATTTGGTCCCATGTTATATTTCTTACACAGAGTAAGTTTACTTCCAGATATTTCCAGTATTTTTAATTCTGTAAACAATATATCCTTTGTGTTAGATGTATTTGTATAGGATTGAAGTTACTGGAAGAAAGACACAGGAAAGACAATTGTATTTTAGTAAAAGAAAAATAATCTTGATCACGCTTACTGGTTTCTGTTATACTTGAGAAATCATAGGCATAGCCTAAGATAGGGTATCAGAAATTTATGGGTGCCAGGTATTCATTTCCATCCTGCATCTTCAGTGTGATATATGAAGCCAAGGATGTTCATTTCATCGTTTTCCAGATGGGCATGATAATGAGATGTGTGCATTTTTCCACTAAAATGTTTTGTCACTTCAAATTGGTTATCTCCAACAAAAGGGACAGGAATGAAAGGATAATCATTTTTGTTCTTTAAGCAAACAAAAGTAATTTGGTAATGTTTTATTCTGTCACACTTGTAAACCTATCATACAAAACAATCCAGCATTTCTCTGCATTGATCACTCTTCTGTAGTCAAGGTGACAAAACCCAGCTGAAGAGCATTTGGATCAGAGATTGTGGCAGAGTAAAGTATTATTCATCTATCTGTAGGAGTGATGCATCCCAGGAGGAGGTTGGGTCCTTGTCCAGTATCAGCTCTACCATGTGGATGTCCCTTGTACTTTTCTACTTCTAATGTGGTTCCCACTTTGTCATTTCTTGATTAGCCAATTATAATCAAAGCCAAATTTGATGTGTGTGTTTCTGTGAGGCTGATAATCCTAGCATTAAAACCAGTTCAGTATATAGATGTTGCCAAGAGGTCTTTGGTCTCCTCAGGCTTCTGTTTGTCTCTCTCTCTTTGAAGCTGGTGACTGACAGAGAATTACAGGAGGCTTTCCCAACTCTGGTCAGAATGGAGTATTGGAGTTCTTATTTGTCAGAAGAAAGGTGACCCACAGGCAAAACCATATGTAAACCAAGTTTGTCTTGGGTACTTTTCAACTTCTCTTCAGGGCATCTTTCTAAGGCCCTTCAGCCCTCAAATTCCTGTAGTAGCAGTTTGTCAGGCCTGCAGCCTCAGGTAGATCTGTACTACTTTGCTTCAGAACTTTCCTGTTGGGCAACTCAAGCTAAGGGAGAGCAGCTCACAGCTGAGATTTGAGAAAATCTAACTCTGCACTTAAAAGTAATGTTTCTTTACTGTGCTGCCTCTCATGGGAGTATTTGTACTTAAAAAGGCAAGACTCTCCACTAGTAAGCACTAGCCATGTGTACACATTCCCAGGAGATGTAGCACGTTAAACACCATCATTCTGTAATGCCAGATTGTTAGATGTGTTTCACTGAAGCCATATTCTAGGCATTAAATCTCAGCATTTAGGAGCACCAATCAGATTCCTACAGATGACTGCTACAACCATTTACCACCTCAAGAAGGCCTGAAATTGAAGACTTACAATTTTGTAATTGGGAGGAACGTCCTGAAATAATAACGAACCTATAATATTGACTAGATAGTGATCATCTGCACATTCCATGGACAAAAATTCATTCCCATGGTCAACATCTGTAATGACAGATTTGCACATGATTATACATATGGGGAAACCTAAAACCTACAAGGTGTGGTAAAAAACTAAGGACGTTTAAATATTTTAATTATAATAAAAACTCTACTCTTGGGCCAGTGACATAGCTCAGTAGTCTAAAGCACCTGCTTAGCAGCTGCAGGGGACCTCAGTTCAATCCCTGGCACCACATGATGCACAGCCCTGCCCTCAGGGTGGGCTGAGCCAGTCAAAAATAAATAAATAAAAATAAAAGTCCTACTCTCATTAGTCCTCCTGAAAATAATTCCCCACACCTTGAGCATACTTATCCCATTATTTTTGCCACTTTCTAAAGTAGTTCTGAAACTCTACTTTCATGAGAGTTTTACTTGCGCTTTATTGGCAGCCTGAATGCCCTGAATTCAAAATGCTATTTTTAGGGTCATTTTGACTTTGGAGAAGTGCCAGAGTTCACATGGTGCCAGATTTGGTAAATAAGAGTGATGAAAAAATCCTGCCTTTCTGTTGGGTGGTAGGTGGGAGCAGCGTTAGCTGCATCTTTTAATCACATTCCATAAATAAAGATATAAAAGTGACTTAAGAACTGCTTCATCAAGGGACAAGAACTATGGGATAAGTGTGTTCAGAGTAAGGGAGATTAATAGCAATATGCCTTTTAATGTAATAAATTTTTCAATTGTGAACCTTCACTATTTTAGTCACACCTGGTACACTTCCTAATCTTCAACAGATGAATACAGATACTCTTATTTTTTAATTTGGCTGTTTGCTACACTAGATGTTCCTATTTAAATGAGTCCTTGTAGATTTCCATTTAACTAACTAATTGAACACTTCTTCCCCAAGGACAATGAGCTTCTGGGAAATAAAAATCAAAAGTTCCAAGCATAGTACTTTAGATAGAAAGGGCTGCCATGAGGACATAGGGTAATGTTTATGAAAGGTACAGATGATCTGATTCTCATCTATACAAACAGATGCCCAAAGCAAAAGCACAGGCTTCTGAAGTAGAGGTAGAAATCCACAGAAGGCAGTGCTGGTCAGAGTATGCCAGTACTTCTCGCCGTGTGCATGGAAGCAGAGCACAGCGCAAGGACAGTGAAGGAACCCAGGGCAACATAATTTCCCTGATGAGAGAGCAGGAGGTGTTTCTCTGTGAGTGATAGCATGCACTGATTTCATGTACCACCACATAGAGTAACAGCAGGTAGATAGCCGATGCCACTCACTAAACAAGACAGTGTGTTCGGTAAAACTGAACTTAAGGAAGTGGAGAAAGAATTTGAGGAATGTCTGTAGTCGGTGTGTTCCCAGAAACTGCGTGGCCTTGCAAGATGATGGATAACACCCAGAAGATCAGTGTAGTTCTCAAAAAGAGAGAGGGAAAGAGTAAGATTGTCACTGAGACTTTGCCCTTGGCTGTGATGACCTTAAGAGTGGAACAATAATTTTGTTGAGAAAAATTGGCTTTTAAGAGTTAATTGTGTCCATATTAATTGAATATATTGTAGTGGTTATTGATGTGCCTTTGTTAACTATTTAATAAACGTGTGTGTGGTTCATTGCAGTTGTCTTGGTTTTTATTTCTAACAGAGACTCAACTTGAATTTGTTTATGGAAAGTTTACATTAGGAAAATGTATTCATGAGTCCAGAAAATCAATAGTCAGTTTGGGGCTCTAGGTACTGCTGTCAACAAATGAAGGATTTGCGCTACAAGGCACGACCCAGTTTTACAAATGGGGCATAAGAACTCACGAATATCAAGCATTTACCATAAACTGAGCCACAGACCAACGGTAGAGACCACTATGGTTAGCAACTTTTTTCCCCTGATGAAAACCACCAGAAATATTTTGGAACTTAACAATGCTTGGGATCTTAGAGGTCATTAGGATGACACTGTGGGCCCAATGATAAATGAAGATCATTTAGGAAGTTTGTCAAGGAGCATGACCAACATGCAGCCACACTGACTGTTGCTATCTTCTATTCAACCATTCTGGAGAAATATTGTCCTTGTGGATCCAAAGAATTAAACAAACAAAAAAACCCAGTCCCAGATATTGTTAGGACAGCTTACAGAAAGTCAGTCAAGGAATAACTTTTTCAGTGACAATGGACTAAAAACCTTCACTAACATAGTACAATTATTATCCTGCACCCATTTGGTTCTATGCCACTGCTCTCCAAACCTCCCTTCTAATCCATCCTCCACATTATTGATGGAATTATTTTTCTAAAGTCAAAATCTGTTCATTTTCCTTCCCTGACTACAAATCTTCCATAATCACTGCATGGCTCTGGGAACAGCCTACATGCAAACATCACTTGTATGCTCTGGCCTCAGGCTCACTCCTTTAGCTTCATCTTTTTTCTGTCACTTTTCATCAAAGAAAACCAGAGCTGCACAGTAATTAAAATGGGGAAAGCAGATTTGATTCAGAACTATTGAAATAAGGGAAAAGATCTCAGTACTGAACTATGTACTAAACATAACAAGGTAAAGTGAGGAATCCCATCCAAGGAGTAGGGTGGGGGTCAATGGATGGAAAGTAATTAGGAGAGAAGAATGGGTGAGTGGCATTCTGGCTAAACTGGCCTAAAAGGACTCTTGCTGCAGGCAGGCCAGGGTTATGGAATTTTATCAGATGGGTTGTGAAAGACGGACAAAACTGATCAGATGGTGAGGGTGATTAGATACTGAGGACCGATGCTTCTGGCTAGATCAGTCAGCAGAATTCTTGCTAAAATTGGCCCTACAAAGATAGAAATGGAAGCCCAAGGGTTCAGGCCTAGTTGAAAGAAGATTTAGGAGAGCCTAACTAAAGTTTGGAGAAGGAGCAACTAAAATTACTTTTGGAGAAATACAATTCAAAAAAACTTCCCTCATTCACAATCCTCTCCCCAAAAGCATTAGAAGGGGAAAGGCTCTTATTAGTGAACAGGGATTAAGCCAGAATATGATGCACATCATAGGCTGTCTGCAAAGAGAATGCAGAGACAGAAAAGTATGCTCAACCCTTTACGTAGCCAAGCAGATGCACCCTATTACATGCACCATCTCACAAAAAGAGATAACCAGTCCACACATAAGAGAAACACCTCTTGTCACACAAAATTTTGTCCACATTTATCATTAAAATGGGATGTTGCCTGAGTTAGCTTTATCGGGAGGCAAAATACGTTTTTCATATCTTTATGACAGGAAGCAGTTCTGCAGATTGAAGCATTTCTGCCTCCCCCCACACAGATGTTAGGTTCCTACCCTCCTGTGGGAACTGGGAGATAGGGGAGCTGACT